GTTTAGAAAGTATACACCCAAAGGAATTTAAAAAGAGGCATGGTGAGTATTTTGCAGATCTAATTTTTTCTCATGAGGTTTTGAAATATAAGAAAAGAAAAGAAAAAATATGTTTTTGTTTTTTTTCAAAATTTTCCAAAAACTTGTGGCAACAAACAAGATCTGCAAAATACTCAATATGCTTCTTATCAAATTCCTTGGGGTGTCCAAAAAAGAGGTCATTTGGGGGGGGGGTGCTATCCTGGCATTTCAGGGCCTCCGAAACTCTGATAGGTAGTCAGGAAGTGATGAGGAGATAAAGCCCTTTAAAAGCCTGAAGGTGCTTATTGGATTTTGGGGTCCTGTACTTGGCTAGACTGCCAAAAAGTCTCTCACATGTGGTACCCCCATACTTGGGAGAGGTAGCAGAATGTATTTTGATGAGTAATTCCACATATACCCATGGCATGTGTGAGTAGTAAATCATTTAAGTGATTTTGTGTAAAGAATAAAAAACAAATTGTCATTTTCCAAAAAAAAATAAATGTGCTAAAAAAATATATTTTTCTATTGATTCAACAAGCCTCTCAGCAAATAGTTTGGGGTGTCTACTTTCCAAAAAGGGGTCGTTTTGGGGGGTGGGGGCATTTTATACCCAGCATTAGAAGTTTATGCCCCACATCACTCACTCTTCTAACCACCTGAAGATCAAGCCTTTTCTGACAGTTTTTGTTCACATGAAAAAAAAATCTGTATTTTTTTCTAGGAAATTAATTTAAACCCCCAAACATTATATATTTTTAAAAGTAGACACCCTAGTAAATAAAATGGTGGGTACTACAATTTTTTATGTCACATAGTGTAGCAATCGTGCACACCGAGATGGATGCGGTCATCCATCTTGTTCAGAATCTTCCATTTTGTATAATTTCTACTCCCAAATCAGCTTTCCTCATCCCCCCTCCCTCTCTGTTGAGTGACATGTGGTCTGTTTGATGCAGATCACAGGCAGCAAACTCAGTGGGAGGGCATCATGGTTATAAATCCCACAACTAGCTGGTGCCCCTCTGTCTGTGAGAATCTTGCTGGAGAAGGGGTTATAAAGTCATAAACCGAGTCCTCACTGAGCTTCAAAAGACATTCCAGGGAGTCGTAAAAACAGACTTACATTTAAAAACTCACTTTTTCAGAAAATTATATCTCCTTATACCATCCAAGCAGATATGTCATATTTAATTTCTAACCATTCAGCAGATGTGTCTGCATATTACTCTACTAGTGGCCAGGCTGCTAAATGCACTGAGAATACGTTATGAACCATGACATCAAATGTGAGGGTTTTTGGTCATAGCTTAGGTCTCCGCCTGCAACACCCGCCCAAATGAGGCGATTGGTTCTCTGCTTCAGGGAGACACCCTGTGGAGTTCCTAGAAAAAGCTAAGCTGAGTTGAGCTAAGTTGAAGATTCTCCCTTTAAACATCTGAACTAATTTTGGGAGATAAGGCATCCTTTTGGCTCTGAAACCTGATCTGCTTAACCCAAGGCTGACGGCAAGTACTTTATCCTTCTAAACTTTCTGTTTTCTCTTTGCTGTGCCATTGCTCTTTGTATATTTATATACATATATATTGGCTACATCTTTTTCTGTAAATATTTTTTATTGCACCCTTTTGACCTTTTAGTAATAAATCTTACTTTCTGAAAGTGTTGAACTGTTTCTAAAGCTCTTTAATGCAAACTAAGAACCCCTGACCCAGTAACAATCACTCCCAGGCTGCAGATACACAGATTGTGGTCCATTAACTAGAAAATCTTTGTGCAGAGTGCAGCTGGGTGGCATTGTTACGCATGTGACAGCGCGGTTTTAGATTGGCTAGTCCTTCGGTCACGAGTTTGGTGAGAAGGCCTGGAGTCTGACACCGCAATCATCACACATAGTACTCGCGCAGCAATTTTTCAAAAGCAAATTTAAAAAAAAAAATACATTTTGTTTGCTTTTAATGCACAAAAACTCAATATATTGGCCAATTATTTGGTAAAATATAATGGTATGTCAAGTAAATAGATACCAAACATGACATGATTTAAAACTGTGCATGCCGCGTGCAATGGCTACAAACTTGGTTGTCAAGCCGTTGGAAGATGTGAGAGAAGTTGCCGGGGGAGCTGATAGGATGTTGGAGCGTCGTCTGAGTTGGCTGATTATATCATCCTGCCTAAAAGAAGTTTGGATATCAGGATTGGTCATACCCATTGCTCCACAAGGGGGATACCACCACTACTGCTAACCTGGATCCATATATGCTGATTGGTCGTATTGCTATATCTTATATTGTGAAGGTTTATTGGCCCTTTGGAGTCGCTGCATGAAGGTGAGGGGGCAATCCAGCCCGTGACGGATCCCAATGTTTTCACCTGTATTACCATGGAATTTTCCACTTGTTTGAACAGTTCACAAGGGGACATTTGTTGTTTATCATTATTACATTATTTAGTGGCACATTTGTGGCATTACGTGGCTTTTTTGTTTCTGTTTTTTTTATATTTTATTTATTTAATTTTCAGCACATTGTGATATAGTGTTTGTGTTCACACAAATAAATCCCAATTAGGGATTTCATCACGAGTCATACATTAGATTTTGTCACATAACGTTTTTGTAGCACATTTATGTGGTAGGACTTTGTGTGGCCTGAAAGTTGTGTTTGGAGTCAGGTTTCATCCTGACAGTCTCACTTTAATTTACTTATGCCAGTTGTGAGTCTTTTGATCATGGCACTTTTTTTGCAGGCATAATTTATGCCATTGATTCATCACTTTATTTGTGATTTATGTCACATTTTTTTCCCTGATTTAAGGAATGCATGTTTAGTGTCTCACCATTTTCGTCAGTGTGTGATTTTTCGTTTACACACACATATATATATATATATATATATATATATATATTTGTTGCACATTTTCACATGATATTGTCCTTTTTGATGTGTATATTTTCTTTGTTAGAATTCATGAGATTTATATTTATGCAATAATTATGTCTTGTTAAGTGTATTTAGGCACTGTATATGGAAGGGCAACACCATTTTCTTTATGGTGGTGACATAATGGCGACAAACTGCATACGTTTTCAATATCCATAGGCTGGCCATACACCATACAATTTTCTGTCCAATTTCTGCCCAATTTTCTTTAGATTTACCTTCAACTGTGTAGTGCAAGGGCCCGCTTAATTGGATACAATTGAAAGTGTTGTTTAGGTTTGACCTCATTATATGGCTCTTGGTAAATCTAAACCAATTTTCTAAAGAAAATTGTATAGTGCATGGCCAGCCATAGGCAACATTTTTAAAAGCCTTTACAACCTCCCATTTCAGATTTACAGAGGAGGTCTAGTGTTAGAATTACTGCCCTTGATCTGATACCTTTACATGCAAGGTGCAACTGCTGTTTACTTACGGACACAGAGCCAACACTAGTGCACACAGGTGTGCGCATGTGGGGGGGGGGGGTTATTTTTTTTTGTTATTTTGATTTTTTTAATTATCTTTACACTGTTCCTTTCATTTTTTTTTTTATTGCTTTTAATCCTATCACAGAGAATGTAAATATCCCCTATAACTTCAATGGGCATTGTCATATATTCTTTTTTGAGAAATCTGGGGTCTATCATACTCTAGATCTCTCCTCTTCCCTTACATTATCTAATCAAACCAAGATCGGTGTGATCAGATTTTTTCCCAGTTTACAAATGGCACTGTTTATATCCTGCGAAACTGAAGTGGTGAAATGCTCGTAGCTTCTGACTTCTTAGGCTATAGAGATGATTGGCACCACTCTGGTCTCCAATCAGCGCTATGGTCAGCTGGCAGAAACACCGGCTGTATTCTCAGGTTCCCCCGATGGCACGGGACTGCCCGAGAAGGCCGTGGAAGGCAGCGGGGGGGGGGGGGGCATTGTCTCCCGCTGCTTGTAAAAGCAATCCTGCAGCTAATTAGCCACTAGGATTGCTTTTATATGAAAGCCGATCGCCGACTGAAAAAAATTATACCAGGAGGATGCCTGCAGCTGTAGGCATCATCCTGGTATAACCATTCAAAGTGCAGTGATGTACCAGTACATCGCTGGTCCTTGTTGGGTATATATGCTATGTTCTTTTTTTTTGTGTATGCAGCCTGTGGGCTGAATGAAAAAAAGAGAAGAAATCTCTGCCAGAAAAAGTGTGTGGTATGCCCACCATTAGAATATACCGCCCTGCATCCACCCACTTCTAATGGTGGGCACACATTAGGTCACACTTTGCCACATGCGCCAGTTCCAAGATTGTACAAATGTCTATATAGTGGCACGCTTGAATAAAAATTGTCCACGTATAAGTGGTACCCTATATGGAGAAATTATGACACCAAGTCCCAAACTATCTTGCCACTACTCCCCATGTAGTCTGGGCATCCGGGGGGCTCCACGTGACTATCTTTTCCCTCGCAAATCCAAAACTTATAAGTATAGCCTGTTGCCCTCTCACAGGTCTTCTACATCTTGACCCCATATCTGGCACGCTTGCTGGGGAAAATTGTTTGAATGCAAGGCGGCCAGAAAAATGAATGAGGGACTCATCAACGCAGATGTTTTGCTGGGGAGTATAGACATCTGCAAATTTTTGGTTAAGGTGATTTGCGAGGGGCTGAATTTTGTGGAGTCGGTCAAATTCAGGGTCACCCCGAGGATTACAGAGTGTATTGTCCTTGAAATGCATATCATACCCTCATATCTATGCCTGGCCATGGCAGTAGAGAACACAGGCATATGATGAATGGGGTCTGTGGACCAATACAACCGCAATTAATTTGTTTTAGTAATGCCCATGTTGAGGGTTAGGCCTCAAAAGAATTTAAATTGGAAACCGTAATGGGTTTCCATGTGAATGGTCTGGCAAGGTTTCAATTTGGGTTGGCGGCTATAAATTGTTGTGTATATAAATTGCTTTGATCCACAATCAATGCATACAGATCGTCCGTGAA